TTAACAAGCATCGTGATCAAGAGGCCATGACCAGAGACCTATTAGTGGAAGGTCGCGAGCCAGTGCGCAATTCATCTGGGGTTGTTGTCAGATATCTGAGAGCTGACATGAAACCATTGGTACAGCTGATCTTATTGTTTGTGCTGACAAATGTTGTACCAAGGTCCCATCATAGCTCGGTGCCCGTGCCTATTGCTCATCTTATCCATTCCATTTTGCTGAACGTTCAGATTGACATTGCCCGCATCATTGCGGATGAATTACGGGCTGTTGTGCTTAGTGGACGGGGCGGGATAGCGGCTCGCAAAAATGCCCCGCTAGCTTTTCCTTGTCTGATCATGTCTTTATGTGCTGAAGCTAGGGTAGACATTCCTCAGAGAAGACAGGTTACTATCCCAGCCGCGATCGACGACAAATATGTGGATAAGTTCTGTAGAGTCAAACCCGTAGCTGGAGCGAGTTCTGGTGTCGATACTACTGCTGGTGGACAGGCCAGTGGCCCTGCCGTTTCTGATCAGGCATATTCTTCTTTTAGCCCTTTCCATCAGGAAGTCTGCAACTATAACTGGGATTGGATGGCCGCTCAGCAGCGAGCCATGTGTGATATTCATGACTCGATGCAGATGTTGCAGCTTCAGATTCGCGACCCCGCCGGCACCCACTCTATGATGACAAGGGAGCAATTCCTTGCACACGCTGGATGGCCTGTGGACAGGCCTAGTTTTGGTGGGGGGGATGATGCTGATGATGATGCTGATGATGATGCTGATGATGATGATGATGATGATGATGAAGAGAATGATGATGACGGTGGAGATGAGTATGATTTGTCTGAGGAGGATTGATTGCTCGTTTGTTTCGTTGATTCACTTTGAGCTACAAAGTGAAGTTTCCTTTTTTATGTTATAGTCATTCGGTTATTTTGCAGTGTACTTTGTTTGTTGTGATGTTGTTGTACTTGTACCTTTCAAGGTACTTCCGACAGTATTGGTGTTTAGTTTTTTTTTATGGTTATGCATTTTATTTTTAGTTAATTGGTTTGAGTTTTTAATTATTTAATCTTGGATATTAAGTTTTCAAGTTTTAATGTTGTGCATGAATTCTCTCAAGTGGGACGGCGATGATAGTATCGTTACCACAAAGGTGTTAACAAGGCATTTAGTGACTTTATTCTAGAAAATGTTGAGGAACTTGTTAGTTTAGGAACAACTCTTGAAACTTTGTTTCGTTTTGCAACTTTATTAATTGACATGTCATTTAGGTCCCTTACCACAAATGTAAGAAGCTTCTTGTTCTATGTACAAATGCTATGGATGAGTGGTGAATTTTGTGTATACTTGTAATTCATACTTTGTCTTTTGTTTCGTATAATTTTGTGGAAGTTCTTGAGATGATCAAGGCACTTGTTTCTGTTGAGCACAACCAGTTCTAAATTCAAATATGCCTGTGAGTTGTGAGCATTCGTAAACCATTTTGAGCCTAAACAGTTGAATCCTTGCTTAAAAAGCAAGAGTTCAAAAATCTTGTTCTTAAAACCTTGGAGATTTTGATTCATTGTTCTTTTGCTAAAAAAAAAAAGAGTAAGAGCATTCACTTAGGGGACGAGAACAGACAAGTTGGGGAGAATGAAAGTAAGGTGGTTAAGTTTTCACAACTAGTGAGAAACCAAGCAAGCATTGAAAAGAACATATAAAAAAATATTAAAAAAAAAAAAAAAAACACTCGTTTTTGCGATTACAGTGTAGAAAAAAAAAATATATAAATATATATATATGAAAATATTTGCTTGTTTGGTAGACAAATATTGAAAAACAAAGTTAGTTGTGAAATATGAGTTGTGAAGGGTTTCAAATGAGGAACTTGTTAAACAAGTTGAAGATGTGTAAATAAGTGATGAGTGAATGTCTCTCCTACATCGGAAATTTCGTTCAATGGCTTTAGATATGTCCCTTGTTTGTTAACCCGGCCAAGCTATAACCTTTGAAGACCTTTGTGATCTTGAACTTCCATAATTTTGTGGTGAATATGTAGATATTTTATGAATTATGTAGTATTGCATTGTTCATCATTGGAGTGAATTTTTGTCCCACGCTTGCACGTGTTTTTGCTTCAATCCTTTTTCGAAGTGGAGTGTTAGAATGACTTGTCATGAGATTTAGTTGTTGCTTGAAGCATTGTTTAAAATTTGTTCTTAGAATTTAGTTCTTAAACATTATCTATTGTGTAATTATGTAATATTTTGTGACCTTGTTGCACATATTGTGTATTTGAGCCATATAGTTTCACTTGAGTTGAATTGGTCTTGAGCAAATCCTCATTTTGTTTTGAGAGGCATACTTTGCTTGAGGGCACGCAAATAGGTAGTTGGGGAGAGTTGTTAGATCCCATTTAGATTAGATATTTGGTTTCTTTTTGGTAGTATTTTCACTCAATTTTATCTAATAATGTTTGATTTCGTAGTTGAATTGGTTTAGTTTGATTTTATGCGATCCAAGCGAAGAATGTTTGTAATATTGCTGTTAGTGTGCAGGATTGACACTATTAAGAGCACTTGGGATCAAGGCAAAGCAGTTGGGAGATGTTGCAAATCAGGACATTCGCCTGGCGAGCCACAGCGAGTGACAGCGAATATTCGCCAGGCGAGTGCAGGCGAACTGGGGCGAATAAATCAGATTTAACTCCCAGACCCAAAGGATAGGAAGTTCGCCAGGCGAAGGTTCCAGCGAAGCTTCGCTACCATTCGCCTGGCGAAGGTGCTGGCGAAGAAGTGGTAGCTTTCCTCATGCAGATTCCAGTAGCAAAACCACCCAAAGTTCGCCTGGCGAGTGAAGCCAGCGAATGTTCGCCCGACGAGTGTTTTGTTCGCCTGGCGAATGCACGATTCCTAAGGGCGGTTTGCTGATCAAAGGCACTTTGAAGTGCCATGTTAAGTTGGTTCGCCGGGCGAATGAATGCCTTCGCCAGGCGAATGTGCGCAGACAGCACATCATTTTTACTTTATTTGTTGCTCTATTTAGCCCATACTTGGTACTTGAAAAGCCATCATCTTGCAAAATCAGAAAAAAAATCATTATTGGATAACTCTAGAACCCTAAATACTTGAGTTCTTCTTCATCTTTACTACTTTTGGTAATCAAGAGAAGTGGAAGCACATCCTTCATTGTTTCTTCAAAGTGGATGTTCTTCATCTTCTCCTTTCTTCTTGTTAAAGCTACCATGAAAATGTGTAGCTAAACTCATCTTTTGTCAAGGTTAGATGTAGGTGATTATTAAACTTTGTATGTGTATGGATGATCATCATTTGTAAACTCTTGAATGATTAATATAAGGTGAAAACTTTGTTTCATTTACAATCTTTTGTGTTGGTTGATGATTGAGAAATATTTTCCAACTCTAGACCTAGGTTTTCATCCTTCTCTTTTCTTGAGCTAGAGATAGTCTTGAAATGTTTTGTTCACTTATAATATTGAACTTTAAAGTTGCCATTTGATAGATTGTGTGAGAGATCAACAATGGATCAAAATGGTAAATCTCACAATATGAGTTAGAGATAATCATATTGAGAGGATGTTGTGGATGTATTGATCATTAAAAGGAGTTTGTTAAATGTTGATTGGAAATATGCATGCAAAGTGATTACCGAACCCTAACTTTGGCAATATTTATTAAAACCGTTCAAATCATTACTTTACCGCATTTATTACTCACATGCAAAAGTTACCATTGTTTTAAAACCAAACACTTTGTTACTACAAAGTTACGAATTTAACAACTGTAGAAAGGCTGCAAAATTTCATATTCCCTGTGGAGACGATAACAAAAACCCGACACTCAACCACTATTTTAACAGCTTCATACCTGCAAGCACTACATAATACATGTTTATGTATCTAAGAACTCCCATTTCATGATGTTTCAAGAAGCAAATAGTGGTTGCACTGTCAACTTGTGAGGCACAGTACATAGCTGATGTTTTGTCAGCGTGTCAAGTTTGTTGACTTATGAATTTGTTGCAAGAACCAAAGTTTAAGGTGAGCAAAGTAGTCAGGTTGATGATAGACAAAAAATCAGCCATAAGTCTTGCCAAGAATCCAATGCATCACTCATAAGCAACTTGCAGATGTTCTGACTAAGACAATCAAAACTGAACACTACATCAATTTGAAGGATGAAATTGATGTTGTTGATTTTTAATGTTGAATATGAATTAAGGGATGGTGTTAAATGATTAAGTTAAGAAACATGAATCAAATGGTTATATATATATATTATTCTTAAACTAATTCCACCCATTATTACTAGTTTTCCCTTACATGATTCATGATTAAGAATTCAATACTTAATTTTCAAAATTTTTGTTCGGACTGTTCCCACAAAACAATTGAGATTATGAAACTTAACATCACTTAAATCTCTTCAAAGACAGTATTACCGATTTCCTGCTGTGAAAATGACTAGCAACTGTCATTATGCCTCAAATAAATTAAGTAGTTGATTGTTATTGGATGCAACATGAAAAACAAAGTCAACAATTTACTCCATCCTTCTATAAATTTCTGAGTAGTGTCACTTTGTACGTGTATGTGTAAAGCCACGTGTCTCCATATACATTTATTTGTCTGTATATACATTGGATTCATTCGTAAGCCATGCTCCAACCTGCAACCAAATTCAATGGAGTACAATATACAAGAAAAAATCTAAGAAAATTTGCTTTCACAAACAGCAACTGCCAAAATACTTATGGCAATTAATGTGGCATACTCTAACAGTTGAAGTTATTAAATGTGTGTCTAAATTGGTGGTAAGTTGCAATCCAACCATACAACCGACCTTAATTATCTTGAAACTATTTCCTTCATTGTTAAATTTGGGCCATCTATAAAAATGTGTGAGACCACCTAAGGATCATCATTCTATCTTGCTTTCAGTTTCTCTATCTCTCAATCTAGCTTTATTTTCACTTACCATTTCATTGGAGCTTTAAGTTCATTTCCACTATGGAGTTTCCTCATTTCTCCATCTTTATAGCACTCAGTGTAAGCAATATTTTCCCAGCTATATTCTAGCATCTGCCTAATATTTTTCTCACTTTATTCTTCAACTTTTACTTCCTTATTTTCATAGATAATTCCTAACATATATGTTGTATTGCAGCTTGCACTTGTTGTAGCAACACATGCTGCGCTACCTCCTGAGTTGTATTGGAAGTCCAAACTTCCAACAACTCAAATGCCAAAAGCCATCACAGATCTCCTCAACCCAACTGGTAATTAGTATATATATAGTAGCTATAATTGGAATCATATCGAACTTTACTATCTGATTTGGCCTGTGAATATTATGATGAACTTACAGAACTATATATGAATCTATACAGATTTGACAGAAGAGAAAAGTACCTCAGTAGCCGTAGGAAAAGGTGGTGTCAATGTTGATGCAAGAAAGCCAAAACCAGGAGGAACCGCAGTTAACGTAGGAAAAGGTGGAGTCCATGTTAATACAGGAAAAGGAAAACCTTCAGGTGGAACAGCGGTTAACGTTGGAAAAGGTGGTGTCAATGTTAACACAGGAAAAGGAAGAGGAAAACCAGTTCATGTTTCAGTTGGAAATCGTTCTCCATTTCAGTACAATTATGCTGCAACTGAAACACAGTTACATGATGAACCTAATGTAGCACTTTTCTTCTTAGAAAATAATTTGCATTATGGAACGAAGTTGAACTTGCAATTCACGAAAACAACCTCAAACAGCGAAGCAAAGTTCTTAACTAAAGAAGTTGCTGATTCAATCCCATTTTCATCAAACAAGGTAGATAGCATCCTTAACAAGTTCTCAATCAAAAAAGGCTCAGACGAAGCTGAAATTGTGAAGAACACAATAAACGAGTGCGAAGAAAACGGTATCCAAGGTGAAGAAAAGCTTTGTGTTAAATCATTGGAATCTATGGTTGACTTCACTACTTCCAAACTTGGAAACAATGTTGAAGCGGTTTCAACAGAAGTGAAAAAAGAAAGTAGTGAGTTAGAAGAATATGTAATAGCGAAAGGAGTGAAGAGATTGGGAGAGAAGAACAAAGCTGTGGTGTGTCACAAAGAGAATTATCCATATGCAGTTTTCTACTGTCATAAAACAGACACAACTAAAGTCTACTCAGTGCCATTGGAAGGTGTTGATGGAAATAGAGTTAAAGCTGTTGCTGTATGTCACACAGATACATCACAATGGAATCCTAAACATTTGGCTTTTCAAGTGCTTAATGTTCAACCTGGAACTGTTCCTGTTTGTCACTTCCTTCCACAGGATCATGTTGTTTGGGTTTCCAAGTGATTAAAACAGTAACAGTTTGATCCATATAGGGTTATCCTTGAATAATGAATTACACAATTAATATAGCAGCTACTTTAAAGGTTAAAATTATGAGAGATGCATTATGTAAACAGTGTTTAATTATGTAACATGGTTACAAGTTTGTGTATGTCCATGATGTATTATAATGTATGGACAATAGGTTTCTTGTGCTAATTATGCTTAGCACTATGTAATGCTTTAAACGGAATATAATATGCAATAATGAGGCTTCTCTCATTTGCTTTAATTTGGTGAAATCTTTTTTATGATTTTTTTGGTTGAATATTTAATTTAATTATTATATTCCATGGACATTTATTTTTATTTAATTAATATTAATTATTTATCTATTCAAAGTCTTCATTTGTTAATGATCAACAAATAAAACTATTTTTATTTTTTATTGAGTAATTAATTATATATTTAATTAATTGATATGAATTTAATTGAATTTTCAAACTTATTTTAGAATAATAGAAACTCAGTATATATATATATATATATATATATATATATATATATATATATATATATATATATATATATATATATATATATATATATATATATATATATATATATATATATATATATATATATATATATACATATATATATATATACATATATATATATATATATATATATATATATATATATATATATATATATATATATATATATATATATATATATATATATATATATATATATATATTACCTCTTCTTTCGGTTTGAAGAGGTCGAAGACATATGTGAAGCTATAAATTTCTAGGGAAAAGTGAAGTTGCAAGTCCCAACATATTCAAGGAGAAAACTCTATACGTTGATTGTGTTATTTATCTTATTTCTTTCGTTTTTATTTACTATTGTTTATTGAATCTCCTTCATAATTGCACATCCTCTCTAATTCATGTTTGAACTGATTCCTTTTTACCATGCATAAATCAATGATTATATTTGAGCTTGATAATGATACTTTCAGTCAAATTCATGAGTCAGTGGAATATGAACGATATGTGTTATCGGTTCAAGTTAGGTGGAAAACTCAAAGTATTTTGAAAATCATGAAAAAATGAGATTTTATGTGCATTTTGAATCATGTACATATCCTGACTCTAATCAATTTGAACAGAGGCGAAACAAATTTTTTCAAACACTTTGATTCAAATAAGAGTTTTAACTTGATTTTAATCAATAAGCTTTGTGATTTAAATCAGACTTTACACTTGATTCAAATCAAAGTGATCTAGGTCACCTCTACTTCATCTGATTCGAATAAGACTTTGCACCTGATTCGAATCAGAAATTTTTTACAGCATTTCACTTTTGGCTCTGTTTAAATTGACTTGAATTAGTGTTTACATTTGATTCGAATTATAGACTTTCTAACTTGAATCAGACTTTGTTCTTGATTCGAAATAGAAGAGAAATGAGTTAAAATCCTTTTGCTTTCTTTTTCCACTTCACTTACTCATTTGACTCAAATCGTTAAAAGTTATTGATTCGAATTTAGCGAAATTTTTTCATTCATTTTCTTGCTTAATCTCAAGCACATATAAAATATTTTTGTGATTAATCTCAAGCACATATAAAACTTTTTTGCCAACATTTTTCAAATACAGATTTTCACAATCTACATTATGATATTTGAGAAATCAACACCCTCTCTTTTTGAAATTTTAAAAACTCTTGCTGCGAAATTCTTGCATCTTTAACCTCTAGTTTGATTTTAGATCTTTATCATGAGATATTTATAATTGACTGAGGGAGACACTATCTTAAAACTAATTGTTATTGAATATTTGGTTGAGAGTTTTAGGTAACTTGTCGGATTAAGGTTGTTGTCATTGGCGCTGACAAACTCCAGTAAAAAGGAGGTTATTCTCTCCAGATTATCTTGGTAGTGACTGTGTGGAAGGCTACAGAAAATTTGGAGTTCTTCTCAAATCTTTAGACTATTCATCGCTCAAGGAATTGGTAGAATCAAGGGGTGATTGCTACACACGAAGGCTTGGAGAAAACTTGTGAAGCTAGAAAATTCAAGAAGTGCAAATTGGGTAAATATTACGCAAAAGAGTTTGCCATTATTTTGTATGCAAGTCAAAATCCAGATAGGGGATTTATTTTTTTCAACATTATTTTGGATTAGTGATTGTATGAACACTTGAAACATTTGTTAAAATAAAAAAGGAACACAATAGGTTCCAATAGGAAACCGTTGAAGGATCCAGTAGGAAAAGCGAGGACGAACATCGAAGCATTATAAATCACGATGTACTCTCTCTCTCTCTCTCTCTCTCTCTCTCTCTCTCTCTCTCTCTCTCTCTCTCTCTCTCTCTCTCTCTCTCTCTCTCTCTCTCATTTAAATTTTATAGGATATTGCATGCTTAATTAGGTTTTCTATTCTTAGTGTAGTTTGCCGTTTATTCAATTAGTAGATATTTATCACATAAGGTTAGTTTTATTAGAAATGGTGTCTAATTACGATTTAGTGGTGATTAATTCTGAGAAACTATTGAAGTATACATCTGAATCAATTGATTACTGAATCAATTGATTACCTTTTGTGTATCATCATAAAACCATCTTTGGTATTTGTGAATTGATTCAGTGTTAACGTGATCAAGTTCCAACAAAAGTATAATATTCATATTTTTGATTTAAAACCTTAAGCACACAATTTCGAAAAACCTCTTATGTTATATTTATGAAAAATCAATTGAAGTTTAGGTTTGGGTCTATTCACCTCGCTTTAAACTTTTGTTTCTTCTCCATATTCTCAAGCAACAATTAGTATCAGAGTGTGGGTTTTTTTTATTAAGTCTAGTTGAACCCAAAACTTTTGAGAATATGGCGGACGATGATGATCCAAAGGGAGTGTATAGTAGAACACATATTTTTAAAGGCGCAAATTATACTTATTCAAAAGCAAACATATACGTACACTTACTATTAGTTGACAAAAAATTATGGTGTGTCATCACCGAGTGATCATTTATTCCCAAGGACGATGATGACATGTTAAACACCCAAAAGATTGGACAGCTAATGAAACCAAAAAGGCTTCATATGATTTGAAAGCGAGGAACATACTTAGGATGCAAGGACAATGCGCCCAACGAGAGCCTCAAAATTTTTCCTATAAATAGAAGTTTTAAGTTTTTAGCAACCAGATTTTTGGTGGGTCGGAGAAGTACAGAGTTGGAGTAGGTTCACTTAGGTATGAAATAAGAGAATAAGAAAGGAAGTTTGAAGGCGGAAGAGCTGATTAAGTGACAATGCATATACCACTTCTGAAGTTGCCTTCTCTAGAAAGACCATATGTTACACTAACCATGAGTAAGCGTAGATAAATTTTATATTGTTGGGGTTAGATGTTTCCATTCTATTCATGTAATAAATAGGTTACAAAATTCTAGATAAATTTACTGATGTTGTAATATTGGTGACTCTTTAATCTTAATGTTGGCTTTAGCTTTGCAAACCTAAAACATGTTTTTATGGTGTGACCTGACATCAAAATATGCTAGTCATTACAATATCCAAGACAATCATTTATTGAGTACTAAGCATTGAAATATGTATAGTCTCTATATCCACACGTATTGTAGCAAATTCGGTATGGAGTCTCGCTACACTGTGTCTGTTGAGACTTAAAGCTCTGTGTTGGTTAATAGTCCGATATATTGTCTATTGGGTAATACATTGATCTCATGCCATACAGACCGAATGGAAATATGAATGTGGATAATAAGTGGTAGTATTATATTGTTAGTAGAGGAGCATATTATTGACTTGTGGATATGCATGATAGATATGTAATGATGAAATCTACCCCCACCAAGCATTCTTACTATTAACTCTAAAATCTTCAACTTTACTTTATGTCATTTACTTTTCTGCTTCACAACAATCACAAAACCCTTTTCCTACTTAGAATAATAAAAAAAAAACTTCTAATCTATCTTTAAAATCACTTGTCTATGTGGATACGATAATTGTAAAACTTACTTTTACTACTAACACAACAAATGGCGTTGTTGTCAGGGGCTAGTGTTAAGTTTTAAGAATATAGCATAGTTTATTATTTTAGGTATGTGCGGCTCTGTATAGTACATGTATACTTTTTTATCACTAATCTATTAATTTTCAAAATTAGACATGTTTTTACTAGTTTATGCGAGGTAAGGTTCCTACTTAATAATTTTTGTTCGATCCTAAAATAAAATAAAAACCTCACGCAAAAAACATAGTAAAAATAGGAAAAAGAAACAAATAGCCAAAAGGCTAGATCTAGAAGAGTCTTTTGTCTCAATGCAAATAACAATGGCTTATGTGAACAATAATAATGGAAACAACAATGATGGTACACAGTGTAACATAATCCCAAACGTTTAGCTCACTTAGCTAAAATACAAAGGAACGTCTGACAAAGTGAAATGAAAATGAGATTTTTATAAATTTTTTAAGTTAACCCTTTTGGAGGATTAGATCATGAAGACCAGTATACACACGTCACAAAATTCTACGAAATTTTTGACACGCTAGGAGCGTTAAAAGATAAGAAAGAGGCAACAGTCCTATAGTTGTTTCCCCACTCGCTGATTGAAAAAGAAAATGAGTGGTATCTAGACCAACCCACATCTACTATGAGAAATTGGAATTTATTAGAAGAAAATTTCATAAACAGACTTTTTCCTCATGACTAGTTCATGGAAGCAAAGACTATCATCATGATGTTTTCCCAAGGTGTAATAGGAACTCCCTGTGAAGCATAGGAAATGTATCAACCCATGATGAGATGATGTCCAAAGAATGGTTTTGATGAACTCATGCAAATACACGTTTTCATAAATGGAATTCAACAACAACCTAAGTTGTTACTAGATGCTTCTGTTAGAGGTTCTATAATGTCCCAAAGTGCTGAAGATGCAATTTCAATCATTGAGCAAATGACACTTAGTGATTATCAAGGA